GTGTGTGTGTGTGTGTGTGTGTGTGTGTGTAGGAACACGGCTCGCAGTTACTTTTATGACTTGTGTCTACGTGCGCGTTCTCTAAACTAATCATCTGCAGACGAAAAATTTACGCTGCGCGCACACGTGGGGATGTAAGTTAACTTTCTACCTGCGCGTGGAAACATTAGTGCGCAAATCATCAACAACCAACAAGTGAGTCACTGAGTCAGTTCAACTCAGTCTGCTGCGAATTAAAGTTTAAACTCACCATGATTCATTTGAATTACTTTAATTAATCGTCTCATTTACGGATTAGTCCTTTATTATCTCCACCTTTGATTCGCGCTCACGGGAGTCCCTCTCTTCTTCCTCTCTTCTTCCTCTCCTCTTCCTCTCCTCTTCCTCTCTTCCTCTCTCTCTCTCTGTGTATTATATCATTTATCTATAATCTTATTTGAACAGAGACGTCGCCCACATCATCACCCACCATGCACTGCTCATTTACCCATCATTCACTCTGTTTCCTCCTGAAGACTGACTGAGCTGCAGAAAACGATCAGATCCAATGAACTGACTGGCTTCAATTAGGTCCTCTTATTGTGTTCAGGGTTTATTAGAGGCTGTTAGGTAACACACACACACACACACACACACACACACACACACACACACACACGCTGCAGATGAGTGTGAATGAAATCCTCACAGCCAAGTCAACTTTCTCATTCTTCATCTTTTCGTCCATTTGTCTCTTTCCCTCCTTCCTCTCTCCATCCTCTGTTCACCCTCCTCCTCCTCTCATCCCTTTATTCCCTCAAACAACAAGGGAGAACTCCCGGGGGATGGGGGGGGGGGGGTTCTGTCTGACTCTCTCGCTCTATTTTCTCCTCTTCAGTGTCTCACACTTGTTCTCTGTCAGCGGCTCAATGCTGCCGCCTAGCGGAGGGGAATCACACGCCAGCCGGCCAGAAAGAGAGGGAAGGAGGGACATTGAAAAGAAAGACAGAAAAGAGAGGATTGTTCTTTTCCTTTGTAGATCTGTGCACACGAAGCCACGATGAGACGCTCACATGCAACTTCCTGTGTTTTCATGCGTTGGAAAACAGCAGGTGTACGAATTAATTTCAAACACACGTCACTCGACCACGTTTTTTGGGGGAACCTAAGTGACGAAGACAGAAGACCCCACAACTGAGGTTTTTATAAAGTGTCTTTTATTTTGAAGGGGCAGGACAATGACCGCCTCCTCAGGCTGTCCGTTGTGTTTGGGATCAGTCGGCAGTTTGTAAAGTTCACATGTGGATCATCATGTCTCCGGAGCGGCGTTTCATTTTGTTTCGTTTTGTACAAGATTTGCTTTCTGTTGACTCCTCACGTGAATCTGACTCCACACTAGATGAAGAAAGAATAATCTCAGCTCTAGATGCTTTTAGTTGCAGCTCCAGAGTTCTCCATCATAAAACATGATCTTCCTCAGGACCTGCAGTTTGCCGTCATGTCTATGAAATTGTAGTTTAAGCTTTTTCGAATTCGTCTGTGGGAGTTCATCTTCCGTCTTTGGAAATCCAAGCTTAATTAGAATTTTTGAAATAATTTAAGACGGAGGTAACAACACGAACATGCAGCTAAAAAGTCCCAAACATGAGAAGTTGTATGTTATGAACGTGTTTATATTCGAGGTATGTGTGACCTCAGCAAACAAGTGACTCATGGATTAAGGTCCAGAAAAGACTGTGTGTAATGCAGTGCTTGTAAATCCTCCGGAAAAACAGCCTTAAAGAACAATGCTTCCACAGACGAGCCTGATTTTAAACATGACTCAAGAGATTATGGAAAGAAAAAAGCAGAATCACAAACTCTCATGATGGTGAATGTATTTATAAACTTTATCAGGTCATAGTCCGAGGTTTGTCATCACGCTGCTATCTTCAGACACGTCTTCAGTGTTTCACCAACACTCCTAACGTCCCGACGTCTCAGAGTGAGTTCCAGTGTCGAGACGCCAGCGTTTTCAAACCTGCGACACAGAAACTCACTTAAGGTGAGGGGGAGGGAGTGTCAGCACCACGGACAGCGTCACAGTTCATTAGCTCTCAGCTCGGACTGAACTCAGAACACTTTGACTTCCAGTTTTTATTTTAGCTCACAAACTCTTTTCAGAAGAAATATTTATACTCTATTTATATATATACTGTTCTGATGTATACAACATAGAAAGCAGAGATTATTTCATTAACTCGAGTTTTATATATTCGTTCGTGTTTGTGTTTTCTTTTTTATCTATAGTTTTATATATATACAGTAAGTTTATATTATCAAATGTAACACACACACACACAAATCCTCCTCATCCACTCCATTACAAGGTCACGACCTCTTGTATAATGATCAGCGTTTTCATTCCAGGTCAAAAACAGAAAGATTTGGACGCACTTATCCCCGTTATGTGTCGAAGTTAGATAATTACAGCTGCAGCTCTGGTGTGTGTGTGTGTGTGTGTGTGTGTGTGTGTGTGTGTGTGTGTGTCYCTCTGTATAAGCAAAGATGCCTTATCTTTACATTCCTCTGCTATGTCCATTTAAGCTTTTAACACTACCTAAACACACACACTTCCATACCTCAGTTTCCCTGAGCGGAGACTGTGTGTGTGTCCGTGCGTGTGTGTGTCTGTGCGTGTGTGTGTGTGTGCGCGTGGTGATGCGTGTGAGGTTTGCTTGCCAACATATTTTCAATTTCCTCCGACCCTGTGATGACCTTTTACGGCCGAGGTGTTTAGCTTAGGCTTTAGAGCTTAGTGGGACAGAGGAAGTGAACACACACACACACACATACACACACGTCTTCATGAAGTCAGAGGACATTACTCTGACTTACATTAATTTCCTGGAGACTCACTTTAAACCATAACTACTACTTAACTATAAACTAACCCTTACACTTAACCTTAACCCCTTAACCTTCACTTTAATCTATAAAATGATCTTAGACTCTTTACTTTAACCTTAACCCTGACACACACACACACACACACACACACAGACAGACGAGTGGCACCCTGGTGACCAAACTGTCGTACGAGGTCAACGAGCTCTGACATCATCACCCGCTGCCTTTTCATGAACTCGGTGATTTACATCCTCGACCTCTGAGGGTGAAAATCCCCCTGATACACTAACGTTCTGCTGAACTGAGAGTTTTGCGTCACCGGCCTGTTTTTGCATCTTTTTTTTTAGATCTGTGGTTTCTCCAAAGCAAAATGAAAAGGGGGCGGAATTACTGAAAGTGGCGTCCTGTGCGATCAGTCAGTGCCGGAGGGTCGCTATTATCTGTGGACCTACGGAGAACAAGCGATTTACAAATTAGGACAGATTTAAGGAAAGCTTGGCGGTTGTTTGGTGGGTTCAGGCCAGAATATGTTGGATAATCTCATCAACCCTGACAGACCAGAGGTGGGAGAAGTTTTTAGATCCTTTACTTCAAGTGTTTCTACTGCGTTCATTAGAAAACGTAGTGTAAAGGCCGACTGGTCGGGTTTAAAAACAACAAATGTGCAAATGAAAAAGTATCTCAGGGTGAAGAAGGTTGTCAGTTTCCAAGTGGGCCGCTCCTCGTTTGTGCTCGAGGTCAGAAGCTCAACGCTCCATCACAATAACACGTTTGTTCTGAAGAAGTTGAAGATGAATAAAAGATGAACTGGATTTTTGAACTCCAGGTTTTGGACGATCTCACCGTGGAAAAAGACGATCATCAGACTCTCAGGCTTTTATTAAAATAATTAAATCCTTCGTAACGTGATCACAAGCTGTGCGGATTAGCTCTGCACATTTTTATCGCCGTGCGTGCTCTAAGATGACCTCCATTAACGGACTGAAAGCCGCGTGATGCACAGCTGGGCGGCAGCAGATGCGCGGTAACGACTGATGAAGAAGAAGAAGAACGGCGGGGCGGAGATGAAGAGGACAACAAGAAAACAACAGGAAAGCCACCGTGGAGCGGGAACACACACAAACAGAAAACATTAAGTGGATGAAGTGAAGTGGCTCAGTAGTTACAGATGTGGTGAATGGTTCATTTCACAGCGGAGACGCAGGATTAACACGTGGCGCTCTTTGTTTTTGGATCGCGGAGTGCGGATTAGGAATGAAGTTTATCCTCATGTGCGTTTCTCACCGTTGATAACCACTTCAATATCGGATCAACGGAGGCCGTAAGCGGGTTTTTTTTTTTTTTTCAAACTGAAAAAGTTCCGAGGACGCCAACTGTCCCGAAAAAAAATTTAAACATTCAAAACATTTTCCAAAACAAAAAAGTTGTTCTTAGCAAGAGAAATGTTAAACGTTCTTATTGTCATATGTGAGCGATTAAAGACCGAGCAGGAGACAGATCTGAGGGGAAAGATTGGGTAAGAGGAGGAGAAGGATCTGCTGCGTTTGATGCCCACAGGACACAAGGTCACTGACTAATTGTGGTTGAACAGACCAGGACTTCATGCAGATTCCTTCAACTAATTAAGTACCAAAGTGGCTTCGCCCCCTCCCTCACCAAATTTTCTGGATCGGGGCTTGTGGGAAGACTTCTGGATAAAACAAGGATGTGGGTTTTTTATGTTGCTCCTCCAGGCTGGTGTGCGACAACTTAATTAGGGCTTCGCTTGATCACAACTGTGTGTTTCCAGTCGTGGCCTCACGTCTGCAGAGGCTGGTCGCTGTGTGTTTTTCTGCTTCTCTGGGACGAGAGGTTCTGAGTTTCAGTCTCAGAGAAGTGACTGAATGAGGACGAGGATTACCGGGCTCAGGCCAGAACCTCTGGGTGATGGGACCATTGATCGCTCTTGTTTGGAAATCATAGAGCTCAAAAGACAGAAAACACAAAGAGACACAAAATTCCAAACAACAAAAAAGACATAAAAGTCTTAAAGCGACAACAAGACTCAAAAAGACTCGTGACACAAAATGACCATAAAGAGACAAACTCACTACGAAGACACAAAAACAAAGAAGTGGAAAACATTTTAAAATAAGATATAAAGAAACTTTAAAGACGACAAACAACCAAAAAAAGATGCAAAATGTTTTTATTTTCTGTGTCTGAGGTTATTAGATATTTTCATCCTTGACCTTGGCTGGATTCCACAAAACCTGCTGCAACGAGAGTTTTATAACTTTCTTTAACTTTGGACCGATATCGACGAGTGAGTTAAACTTGGTGCAGCTTGATTGAATTTTCGGGACTTTTGGTCCTTGGCGGAGGAACAAGTTGATCCCACGGTGTTGCGGTGGCGTGTCGAGCTCGTCGTCTGTAAGGAAATACAACAAAAACTAGCCAAAGGGGATTTTCTCAGAAATCTCCAGTGATTCAGAGAAAGCTGCTGCGTTGACTTCCTCCAGAAGTCCCCAAAAAAACCCGACCTGACGGATGTGATGGTTATTTTATACGTTCGCTTCAAACTGTCACAATACGTCGAGAGAACGCAGCGAAACATGCAAAGAAAAATCAAGTAAAGCAGAAAGAGAAAGAACGAGGGAGTGAAAAAAAGATGTAGAAACAATAGACAAAGAACGAGACCAAAAAAAATAGAAGGATTAAGACGAGGAGACAAAGCAGAGAGACCATCAGTCTTCTGATGATTTTCTGTCTCTGTTTCTTTCTTTCTTCTCTCGTCTGTAAAAGAGAAACTTCCAGCCCTCTCTCCGTTTTGTTTATTCTCTCTTTTAATGGCGTCACATTTTCCCCTCCGCGCCTCATTTCTTCTTGTCATTCATCACTTTATTTTGTCAGTTAAAACGCCGCTGCTCCGAGCGTCACTCTTCTTTCTTCTTCTTCTTCTCCGTCATCACAGGGTTTGTTTGTCACAATAAAGCAGCTGTTGAGTTTCTCCCTCAGATCTGTCGTGTCATCACGAGTCAGAGCGACGGCTGACGAGGGCGGATTAAATCCCGTCTGCGTCTCTCACAACAGAGAGATCTTCTTTTGATCCGAACCGGTCGTCGTCGTCACCAGTAGCCGCCGTCACGGGTCCCTGAAGGATCTTCTGAGAGGACGAGCAGAGACGGAGCCGGTTATCTCTAATTCAGTGTCGGAGAGTTCGTCAAAATATCTGAAATCACAGAGTTTCAGTATCAGTTTCCTCAGAGAAGAGACGATGCTGCTTCAATATGTTTTCAGCCACAAAGTGAAAACACTTTCATTTTAACTCGTGGGAGCTGCTGAAGTCAGGATTCGAACCCCCAACCTGCTGCGTGACCAGCGGAACCATTCAAACTGAAAAGTTAAATAGAGATACAGAGCATGTTGTTTCCTTTCATCTTTCCATCCAGTTTCTCGATCATCCGTTAAGTCGCGTTTGAATAAAAAAAGATCTGAAGGTCGTTCTGGTTCAGTTGCTCCGAACTTTTGATCCATGGAGTCGTAACCGTGTTGAGCAGTGATGGAAAAGTTGTCCAGTAGTTACAAAGTACATTTACTTCACTAGTAGCTTTGTTTTCAGGTACTTTTCATTTTTACTTCACCACATATATATCAGCAAATATCAGAGCGGAGGTCACAGACTCGACCATAATGATGTAGCAGTACTTTTACTTATATATTTGAAAGCAAGAACTTTGAGTTGAGTACTTCCTCCACCACTGATCATTTAACTTGGTACATTACACATCCTCCTCCTCCTCCTCCTCCTTTATTATAATTATCATCTGACCTAAATGAGCTTTCATCTATTTGTATTTACTCTCATGTACTATCAGGATGCTCCTCTATAAAATGTTGAAGTACGTTTTCCACCAACTTGGTATAAAAACCCCAAAACCACGACCTGATGATGTGAGATTTATATCAAACATGTAAATGTGAAAAAATGACCAACGTTACGACATCATGCAAATAACCAACATGTGTTTTCCTGCACCAAATAATAATCTGCCATAAAAGAACTTTACGAACTCTGCAGTCGTTCCTCCGTCGCTCCGTCTGACGGATGGTCTGGATTAGTGTCTGACACAGCGTCTCACCGCGGGCTGGCATTTTACTGGGCGGCACCAAACAGCTCGTGACCCCCGGCGCTGCTCGACGGCGCTTCCGTAGAGAACGTCAGATCACCTGCTGACACACACATCCCGAAACCATTAGTCTGCACTGCACAGGGGGCACAGTGTGTGTCTGTGAGTGTGTGTGTGTGTGTGTGTGTGTGTCTAACAACCCATTTCCCACAAACGTCATGAGTTAAACATGTACACAACACTCATACTCTGTAACACACACACAGTGTTAATCAGAGTTTATAGATAACACGTGTAGCGCCAGTTTCCCATGATGACACACACACACACACACACACACCACCATCAGCTACAAAACACAGTTCAGTAGGTCAATGTGTGTGTGTGTGTGTGTGTGTGTGTGTGTGTGTGTGTGTGTGTGTGTGTGTGTGTGTGTGTTTGGGTTAAATCCCCTTTTATGAGTGTTTTGGCTTCAGCAGTTGATGAGGAGGCAAATAAAGACATCTGGGCTCTATGAGTGTGTGTGTGTGTGTCTGTGTGTGTGTGCGCGTGTGCACGTGTGTGTGTACACGTGTGTGTGTACATGTGTGTGTACGTGTGTGTACGTGTGTGTTTTTTCTGTTTACCATGCTTCTTCTTCTACTCACCTTTTAATGTTTACATCTCTCTCTGTGTTTCGTTGTCATTACATGACATCATCGCCGCTGTCATTGTAATAACACAAACAGGAAACCGTTGTCGTCAGGAGGAAGTAAACAGTCTGAGATGGAACATGTTTGTTGACAGTGAAGCAGTTATAATAAAATACACATGAAGCTACGATTCTTTACCTTTTTGTCTTTTCTTTTTGCAGGTCGAGTGTATTCACCTCCAGACGAGCTCCAGACTGTGAACCTCCGAAACATCGGAAATCATCAGGTAATTAACTGGTGTCATGTTCTGCAGCCGCCGGTCATTTACATTTACATAGTTTCCTTGAATGTCTCACGAGCTGCAGTCATGCACAGTATGGAGATTTGGATTCGCTGCAGGGAGTCGCTCGTGTTGCCAGGTTGTGTTCGGGGGCCGCACACATTACAGCAACATAAAAATCCCTCGTGGTCCAAAACAAAAAAAGTCCCAGGTTCAGGAATCACTCTTATACTCGATCTCATGAACTCTTAGAGTCGACGTGGCTTCAACACGATGTTCGCACAAGTAGTTCTCAAAATAGTTTGATTGTTAAGAGGCTGTTGTTGGTGTTTGTTTTTTGTTTTTTTATTGGAATTTCTCAGTTCGAGGAAAATAATTCTACGAAATTCAGTTTTTCTGTTTGGCTGAAATCATCCAGAGCGGATCCAGAAGAATTAATTGACAAACTTGTCGTAGAGCTCACACCTCCGCCAAGAACCAACAGCTCATCATAATCAAACTAACTGATGACAAACAAAGTGAATATGTTCACTAACGCAGCTCGTTTCCCAGAAGTCATAACGATACACAGTCAGTTTCCCAGCTGAATAACTCTCTCTCTCTCTCTCTCACACACACACACACACACACACACACATTTCCGAAAACTTCCCCAGAGAGGTCTGTATCGAATCAGATCTAAAACGGCAATTACAGTAATGCCGCCCGACACTTAAATGTTTTTGTATTCACCGTGAATACCAGGGGAAAAATTCAGCAAAAACACACACACACACACACACACACACACACACACACACACACACACACACACACACACACACTGCATAACAATCCCCAGCGCACAGAGCTATCAGGTCTCTGCTAAGCCTTAATAATGGGCTTCATTATAATTCACTTTTCTACATATGTGGTTGGGAACAAACAAAGGAATGGAAAAACTGGCAGACTGCGACACACACACACACACACACACACACACACAGTAGTCTTTCAGTAAGCACAAGAATTCACTGGTCAGGCCGCAGCTATTTTTGGTGGATATTAGTAAAACTCACTGTGGATGAAAAACTATAAAAGAGATGAACAGATAGAAGATGAGAGAGAGATGAGGAGAAGGAGAAATGAAGAGCTGGACCACAGGCATCCAGAGAGACGTTAAGATGAATACTGCGGTCGTCCTGCAGCTCAGGGGACATTTCCACTTTAACATCAAGTTTCTTTTAGACATATTTTCTGGTGTGTCGTGTGCTGCTGGGAATTTAAAAAAGAAAATCCAAACCTCAAATTTCCAAGTCCACTGAGCCTGATAATCCAGAGTCCTGATAGTTTGAGAAAAGATAACACGTCACTCAGTTGCATTAATGTCCACGTCTCCGTATGTACTGCATATTTAAAGGTAGTTTCTTTATTTGTGTGTCGTTACGTCTTCACCCGGTGACGATGCTAACCGTTTTCTAGCGTTTAGCAGTGCGCTCATTGTGTCGTCATTTAAAGTAAACAAGCGGGAAGCTGAGACTTTTGTGAAAAAACAAACAGTGATGACGTGTGCAAGCAGAATCATACTTTAACATTTTATTGTTAGGCGGCCTCTAGTGGCTGTATTAATTATGACACAGGAAACTGTGGTGACATAGCGTAACAAAATGAAAGTAATTATTATAGGATGGAGACAAATAAGAACAACAGAAATACATGATTCTGTTTTATTTTATTTTATTTTTATGCTAGAAAGCAGTGATAATGGAAACCAAGTGAAAGTTGGACACACACACACACACACACACACACACACACACACACACACAGAGAGAGCTTTTGGTGTTTCTGTAACCTTTGACCTCTCGGGCTCATCAATAACCAGGAGGTGAAGAGAAGTGTGTGCTGTCTCATCCGTCTCCATTAGAACTGTGTGTGTGTGTGTGTGTGTGTGTGTGTGTGTGAGACTCTATGCTAGTTTGATGTTTCACATGCAGCTCATATAAAAACACGATGAATACATTTAAAACTACACAACCTGTTAGTTTTGTGCTTTTTAAAAACTGGAATTAAAGTTCAACAAGATTTTTATGACACATCCTTAATTTCCCTCGGGATCAATAAAGTTTCTTTCTATCGAGAACGACGATAAATGACTTTAAATCTCTCTAATCTTTGCATCGTCCACCGCTCGTGTCTGTGGAGGAAGAGAAGCTGAAACTGTGATTTCTCTTATCTCACTGATTACATCATTTTTTTGATGTCGCACACAGGAGCCGGACGACACGCAAAACCAGGTCCGAACCAGGAAGTGACGATGCTGTTGAAAGCTTTATCGACACGAACAGGTACAGTTATCTCTCTCCTGAACTTAACTGCTCAACTAAATTAATACAAACATCTGCATCTCAGACAATAACTTCCCATGATGCAACAGAGACTTTAAAGGCTTTGTTGGTTTTATTTAAAAGCTGGATCCAAGATTCAGTGTTGTACAAATCATGATATATACAGCACAACATACTTCATTTGTACTTTATATTTATCATATTATATTATAAAGACACATACATTGTTATGATAAAGATACAATGTCACAGTATAGTATGGCGTGTGTATGCATGTGTACGTAAATGTGTATATCTGTATGTGTGTGAGCAGTGCTCGAATTGGGCTGATGCCGTCCGGGTCTCAAACCACCGGCACATATGTCATGTTTTGAAACAAAGCTTTGTTTTGATCCGCTCCCATTTGCCCCGATTTACTGTCCTCTGCTCCTGGAGCGGAGCTGCACATGTTCCTCCACACAAACACAGCCACACACACACACACACA